AGGTAAATGATTAAACATAAAAAAAAATATCTTGTGTATCTGAAAAATCTTAGTAAATTAGAAATGTTCCTACTGTTAGATTAATAAGCGAAATAAGAGGAGATGGTGTTTGGAAACACTCCTGCATATTTCAGTCACCTCCCATGATTCCCTTGAAAGTTGAAATACTCATAGTCTAGAGAAGAGTCACCTGCTACATTGTCCTTCTTAGCTCTGATCTTGACTTGAGCTTTGTTCACATTTTGGATTACAGTGGTACTGTAAGGAAGAAAACATACATCTTAAGTCGTTCATTAATTCATCATTATAGGCAAGGTGAAGTAGTTATCAAATAGCTGTAATGACTTGGAAATTATTTTTAGTTCACTACTCTGTGCATTTAATTGCACAGTCTTCAAAGCTAACGCAGAAGCTTTCAAAGAAACAATTTTCCAGCAATGTCTGGAAATGTAAAAGAAACAGACTCTGAAATGTAACTCTGGAAATATTTTAGACTAAATATACAAAGCATATCTAAAAATTGGTCAGTTATCTGGCAAATGACTTTAAAATATTTCAATAACGTTGAGTCTAATCAACCTGTGCAATTCTCTTCCCACTAAAAGCAAAGGAATCTCAAGACTTTAATGTAGACCAAGGCCACAACACTGTTCATTTTTATGAGTTCATATTTATTTGTTCTTTCAGAACGGTAAATGAGTTTGTTTACACACTAGCTCTTACTGTGTTAACAAACTTAAGCTTGTACAATTCATCTTGAAGGATTCTAAAGTGTCTTAAGGTCTTCCAAGAACAGGTCACTGTAGCCAACTCTTCCACTGAAGTACAATTTACTTACAGGGTGGAATCTAACTATTGTTTATACCTAAACACCGTGCCTGGTTAAGACAGGAAACAGCACCACATCCAAATGAGAGTAAAAAGGCTTTCATGGATGCTGTGCACCTCCCACAGCACACAGGTTACTAGTGTGTCTGATCACTTAGCTCTTCCCCATTAACTGGTGGTACCATCAGCTGAATCATTAACACTACAAGAGCTACATTTGGATGAAGTACACCAACAGCCTAGTTAGAATTGTAATTTATTAAAATGCAATTAAAAATAACCCACTAGAGGAAAAAGCTGTATCTCCCCTCTCGTATACAGCCCTCAATAGCCCTAGTGAGGCAAGAGGTCATGAGACAGGACACTAAAACATTGAGTAGAATCTCCCAACAACTTACTGGAAAAAATAACACATACTGGATCCTGTCTTCAAGTCTACAACAAAAATCAAAATAATACATAATCCAACACTCTGATATAGAGTCTTGTATACCTATGTTTTATCTTCCAAGCTGCAAAAAACAACTTCTCAAATCAAGGATCTGTGCACAATCTGTACGTAAATTCTGTTAATTTTTCAGCTTTTTTATACATTTTCATCACACATTCTCTCTCTCCTGCAGTGATGTCTCTCTACTTAATGGAATTCAGTTCATCTTGTCCTACTTTGCCCATTGCCTTTTTTTAAGAAGTGTGCTTAAGAATTTTGCTTATTTCCAGACGATAAATCGACAGTTTGTTGATCACACTTTCCCATGGGTAGGATACACATAAGATCAGCAATCCTCACCTGAAATCTCCTGCTGTAAACTTTGCCTCAGCAAGTGAAAATGCAGCTTCTCTCATCACCTCACCCATCAGCAACTTAGTCTGTTAAAAAAAAGAGGCAGCAAATATAAGGTATATTATTTTTTTCCCAGGATGAATAACTAACAGCATAAAGAAAACAATGAGAAATTTAAGAGAGTAAGAAAGAGAAAATCCGATATTTCTATCTTACTCTCAAACTGCAAATTGCATATCGTAATTCCCAGGTGACTGTTTAAAAAAGAAATACTTCAGCTATTTCACTCACCCAGTGTAAGAACCCAAAGAAACTGCAAAAGATTCATCTGTCTCAATAGTCATAAAATTCTGCTACATGGGGGTTAAATTGCAACAACAAAGTGTCTCAGCAGGAAACCACTTTTACCTGATACTGTACTGGATACTATGAGACATCTGAAGTTGTTTTTCAGCGTACAGGTGTATGTAACTTTGTGAAGCTGCTCTCTCCTCCTACTCTATTTTTTCCCATTTTTACACATTTCAAGGCCTTGAAGCAAAAAAACATGCTATTAAGAAGTAAGAGCCTTAGTGTCTTAGTCACTCTGTTGACAACTAGATACAGAGTGCCAAGAGCTTGTCTACACCAAAACACTACTGCTAACCATAGGCATCATAGCAGTTCCAGCCAAAACAGTACAACTAAAACCTGTCTAGTATGGTAGCAGAGAACAAGCTATATAAGGCTCTGCTGAATATCTTGGGTTTGTCAGTCATGTTACCAAGAAAGAAGCAGAACTTGATGTTTCTTCATAAAGGAACAATGTCCATCTGGACAAAATTTGTTGTCTCTGCTTCCTAGTGTGCCTAGTCATGCCAAAAACATTATAGATGTGCAGTATCCTCTCAGGCCAGATAAAGCAATAAAAATAATGCTACAGAACATGTTAGATCCACTCATAATGTATTTGACACCATCAGAGCAAATTTCCTGTAATGCAGGAGAGATGGTAGGGAACCACAGCCGAGGACTGGTTGGAAAGAAGTGAAGAATATTAACTCTTATAAACTTCCTGTACCACTGCAGCCAGGAAAACAAAGTTCTGCTCACCTGTCCTTGGAAGCCTCACTTATAAAGAATGGGTTATCTACAATGTTGTCCTACATTCCAGCCTACCTAACGAAGTTAGCAAAATGGGAATGCACAACTGACGAACAGATTTCAAATAAAGAGAGACCAAAAAAATATAATTTACCTACCTCAATAATTTTCTTAAGGATCTGCCTGAATCGAAGCGTCAAAGCATCAGATTTTTTCTTCAATAGGTTACGACCTGTTTGGGCTCCTTTCAAACGAGCCTTCATGATGGTCTGAGCCCTATTAAACAGAGGAAGAAATAAAAATGTCCTGCATCATCCAAAGGGATTAGGAAAAAAATTACACATGATTTTCTGATGTGGACATGACAGAAAGTATGAAGCAATGAAGAAACATCAACGTGGTAAAATAGCAGAGACAATTCAGGATAGAATTTTATTTATTCTTTTATTTATTTCCAGTAGCAAACTTCCAGGTTTCTGGTGCAGAACTGGGAACTCAGAAAGGATCCAAACTTTGCTTCCCTCTCTGTTGTCACATATATTTTGACGAATCTTTTTAACTAAAATTTCAGTAGCTATACTACAAAATCCACTGTGCTAACTTAAGCTACTGCTTTGTATACATAGTTAGTGTGCATAAAGGATGACATTCAGGTCTGTAAAGAGAAGCCTGTACGCTTCCTCTCTGACCTTGGAAAATGTAAGTATAATGAACGAAGTGGACACAGTTACTTCCCCACTCTACTGACATGTTGTAAGAATAGCTTCATTAATGCCTACAAGATTGTTATAACTGAGAAGCACGTATACTTTCTGAATATTCACAATAAAAATAAAAATAAATAAAAAATAATTTAAAAAGTCAAAGAACAACAGGGCACCTTAATTTTCACAGCAAGCAGGTGACTGTTCCCACCTTGAGCTACCTTCTCACCCTGTTCACTACCTGACCGAGACTGGCTCACTTTCTAGTTCAAGCAAGATTTCACAGGCTCTGTGAGTGCACTAAACAAAGTCCTGTTTACTGTCAAGGAGACTGAGCAGCTTCTGTGAGTGATCATAGCCAGCCCAGAGAAGGGTCACACGAGCAAAAGAGAACAAGACCAAAAACCTTGTAAAACTCAGTTCCATCAGTTAACAAAAAAATTGTTCTAGAAGCAGGCCATCTTCAACATCCTAGCTCACATCCTATCAAAATATCTGCCACGTTATTACTCTATTACCTCATTTGAAACAGGGCTCATAAATATCAAATCTTTGTTCCTCACTACCTCCTTGCCACAATGATCTGTCAGCCCACAAAAACAGATACCTTTCAGAAGTGGTTGAGGTGCCTCCTCCTGGGACATGTAAATGGCATTGAAGAGCAGGCGACCAGGGGACTTAGTACATGCAGCCATTTATTTCTGAGCTGAGGTTCAAAACAGAACCTTTACCATGCAATATATTAATATTTCTATGTAAACTGTTGTATTGTGTGGCCTGAGCTCATTCATGAGGAAATAATAGTTGTTATTTTACGTTTGAGGTTTTCTATCCTGCAAGACATCTTCCTACAAAGATCATATCCAGTCATCAGCCTAATTTTACGCTAGAAGATTTGAAACGGCCTTTCACCCCAAGGCAAAGTCTTTCTGTCCTGAAGAGGCACAGCACTATTAAAACGGCATTTTTAATGCTTTATCAATGTTAAATGTTCGTGTTCATTCCCATGTTGGCTGCTTCCTTAAGCCTGGTCAGGAGACATCTGACTGCATGACGAGTGCTTTGCTGTCACAACCTGGAAAATTACTTGACTGTCCGCTCACTGCACTTCCTTTTTTTTTAAAAAAAAAAAAAAATCTTTATGGCCATCGTCTTATACGACATCAGTTAAGCAGTGGAGGGAAGGTACGGTCTGACGGTGCGTTTTTGCTTCTATTCGTGTGCTATTTTTAAATCGCGGCTTGCCCGATGGTACGGCGGTGACCCCCCTCCCACACACACACACAGCACCCTGGAAGCTGCTTATGCCGTGGCTCTGGATGCCTCAGATGGCTGCCGGATAACTGCGAGCCGCCGGAGGAGGGACAGCACCGAGGGGGAGACCCAGCCGCGGCCCCACGGCGCCTTTCACCCCAAAGCACGGAGGGTCCCCGCCCGCCCCGGCCCCGCCGCGCCACTCACATCCGCGACGGGAAGATCTCGATGCGGTCCTTGCCCGACATGGTGGCGGCGCTGGCGGCGAGCGGGCCCCGCTCCGCCTCTCGCCTCTCCCCGCCGCGGCCGCCCCGTGACGCGGCCGCCGGCCGAGGGCGGGCGCTGCCTCTGCGGGTGCCGCCGGCGGCCGCCTGCGGGGGCGCTGCAGCGAGGGGCGGCCGCGGCTCCCCGCCCGGCGCCGGGGCGGGCCGGCGGCTGCGCGCTGAGCGGCGGGGCAGGAGCGGAGAGCGTGGAGAGGGACCCGCGGCAGCCGGCAGGTAGCGGCCGGGGCGGGCGCCGCGGGGTCGGGAGGGGGCTCGGCCCCCAGCGGGGCTGGGGAAGGGCCCGGCCGCTTGGGAGGGAGGGAGCGGGGGAGCGGCGCCGCCCCGCAGCTGCCCCGGGGCTGGCGTGGGGCGTGCGGCCTCACCGGGCGGGGGCTGCGATCGCGCTCGGTGGCCGAGGAATGTGGCCTGTAGCGCTGGGGTTGTGTGAAACGGCACGAAAACTTCAGCGTCTTCATGATTGCGTTACCACTTTGTAGCCCTTTCCTGGAAGGTGAAATGGGAGCGAGGGCAGGCACGGCCTCTGCATCGTGTGGCCACGCTTAGCGCTTGGCGGTGCCGTCCTGTTCTCTGCACAGCCTCAGACAGCCCCACAGCCCCAGCGCCGCCTTGGAGAGCAGGAGCCCCGCTCTGAAATGGCAGTTAAACGGAAGGGGCAGTGCATTGGGCTCAATTCTGTGGGCTCCTGCTTCTAAAATGTTCTTAAACTCGTGCATGAAGCTGCCAGGCGTAGACAAAAGCCCCGAGCCCAGCCTCGCCATTAGCGGTGAGTGCGCGGATCGCTGCCATCAGGAGAGGGAGGCAGCGTGAGCGTCCCGTCGTGTCACCACAGGATTATTAAACATGAGCCTGCTGCCTTTTTTGAATCGGTGACAAAGGAGTCTTGTTTCATATATATATGTATATTTCATCCTGGCTACCTATATGTTAGGCTTCTTTAAAGTTATTTTTAGGGGCCTGTTTTCTGTTTAGTGCTTCACGCACATCAGGCTCATTCCACCTTCTGGTTGTTGCCTTTACTTCCTTTCAGTGCCGAAAGGCGGCCCTTCTGCCACCTGTAGTGGTAGCAGAGCAGCGTCCCTCTACCTCGTACTTTCTCAGCCCTTCACATGCAGTCTATTGCTGTGCATACAAATACCTCTGTTAGCACCGCAAGCTTCTCTCCTGTGTCCTTCTGTTGTTGAAATCTGGTTTCTGACTTAAAACTGACTTAAAAATGTGGCCTTATGGATTTAGATGACTGTGAAGAGCGCAGTGCCTTCTTTTCACCACTTGAGGCCTCTCCTGTGTGGTGCACTGTGTATGGGGAGCATGACAGTTGAAGCGGGCAATAAAGTTGGGCTAGCAAGCTTTTTCTTCTTTCATGCAAAAAGTGAACATCATTTAAAAATGTGGCAATTTTGAAGTACTAATCAGTCTATTGCTTATTATCTGTTAAAACCTAACTACACATTGCACAAGCCTTATCCTAATCATCAGTTTCTAGTATCAGTGTTCCTCTCTATCTCTAGTCCCTGCTGCTTTTTTACCATGCTTGTAGGAGACGTCAGTGATGTATTGTGAAATAAGTCATCCTTGTTTTGATTTTTTTTTCCTTGTTTTCTGTTCAAATTCCAGAATGCCAGTACTAAGCTGTAGATTCTACCAGCATAAATTTCCAGAGGTGGAAGATGTAGTGATGGTCAATGTCCGGTCCATCGCTGAAATGGGGGCTTACGTCAGCCTGCTAGAGTACAACAACATTGAAGGCATGATCCTCCTCAGCGAGCTGTCCAGAAGACGTATTCGTTCCATAAACAAACTCATCCGCATTGGAAGGAACGAGTGTGTCGTGGTCATAAGAGTTGACAAAGAGAAAGGTATTTGGGGATATTATGGGTTATATCAAGATTGAAGTCATAAAGAGAAATGCAGATTAACTGGGTGGCATAGCCATTCATAGATTTTGCCAGGGGTTCTTTATTTAAGACACTTAAGCAAAATAAACCATCATCCTGCCATCTGATGTTTACAATAATTTTTCTGGTAATCAGGCTAATGAAGGTCAATCACAAAGATTTGCTTAACTGGGTCCTCACCAGCTGACTGTTGGTCAACAAACCATAGGGAAGTGGAATTTTCTGATACCTATGCAGATTTCTTAGGTCCTGACTGAAGAGAGGGGTCATCTGATGTAATGGTGAAAATTTAATGCTCACATTCCATCCTGTGCCTTAAGTCCTGAGCCTTGGCTGTCAAATAGATCACATTTTTCTAGAATACTTCTAAAACTACAGTTAACTTTCAGATTAAATAATGAATAGCAGAATAATAAAAAGCAAATTTCGATCACGATTTGATCAAATTCATTGAGGTTTAGTTTTGTTACTTTCCTTAGCAACTGATAGTGGAGACAAGGGGCAAATCCTGAGCCAGATTGTTTGCTTGTTATGCTTTTTTCTTGAAGCAGTTAGATTTGGTTAGCACGATGCCTGACACTTTGAAAATTTATTTTCCCTGGTAGGTTATATTGACTTGTCAAAACGAAGAGTTTCTCCAGAGGAGGCAATCAAATGTGAAGACAAATTCACAAAATCAAAGACTGTAAGTTGCTTTGCTTTATTCAGTCACTGTGTTGTGGTGTCTTATGTCTGTGCACTTTGTTTGCTCAGAAAAGAAGATAATATGTCTGATAACACCCCATTTGTGTTCAAGGTTTACAGCATTCTTCGCCATGTTGCTGAGGTATTGGAGTACACTAAGGATGAGCAGCTTGAGAGTCTGTTCCAGAGAACTGCCTGGGTATTTGATGACAAGTACAAAAGACCTGGATATGGTGCTTATGATGCATTCAAGCATGCAGTCTCGTAAGAACATCTTTTCTGTTTCTATGGGTTTATTTCATAATTGCAAAGAAGTATTTTCTCAAATATATCCACTTTTTTCTTTTTTTTTTTAAGAGTCAGTATGTAGACTAGAATGTAGTGGTTAAGTTAACCTAATCCATTGTGACATCAGCCTTCCAGTTGTGAATTGTAGGTTTTTCTGTCACTACTTTACTCAAGTTCCCAGTGCTCTTGAAAAAGAAGACTCAGAGCTGATGTGTCTTTATCCACCTTTGAATACACCATTCTGCATATGTCAGTTTTTTAAAAGTACTAACTGAATTTGTTGTGGAAGAATACTGAGGAACTCAGTGAATAATATTAAGAGAAACTTGAATATCACAGAATCACACAGAATTTCTAGGTTGGAAGATACCTCAAGATCATCGAGTCCAACCTCTGACCTAACACTAACAAGTCCTCCACTAAACCATATCACTAAGCTCTACATCTAAACGTCTAAAGACCTCCAGGGATGGTGACTCAATACAAACACTGAGGAAATTTATATTGCTGCAGCTGAGCCTGTGGCATTACTAATAGAAGCAGCACTAATCTTGGCTTCTCTGTCAGAATTTGCCTCTTCTTAGTCCAAAGCAGATATTTTCACTCATATCTAGCTCTGTGTCTGAAGAAATTTGAACTCACAGCTGACACTCACTCTTCCACTGCCACAGGCATTATTTTATTTTATTTTTTAATATAGCAAGCTGGCTTGTTGCTTTTCTACACTTTCAATCTTAAAGAATGAAAATGGGATGATGAGTTTAGAAATGGAATTATCTAAAGACAGAGTTCAAGTTGTGAATCTTATGGAGTGTGCACCAAGATGGATAGTTCTTTGGTTTTTATGAGGTCTGGCATTTGAATTTGCTTTCAGAATTAATTAAGCTATTTGGTTTCCATTTAAATTTAGTATCATGAAATTGGCAATTCAAGAATAGGTTTCTGAATAAACATTTCTAATTTTACTCTTGTAGCACATAAACCTACGAGAAATAAACTTTCATTTAATGCTAGTTGGTAGTGATAAGATTCTAGAAAATTATATTGATTTTAAAAAGCAGGGCACTTGGCAGTATTTTTGATTGATTAGCTCAGAACTGTTTCTGTAGTTTTGGGAAGAGACAACTTGTTCTGTCTTCATATAGATGGAATGCGCTCATAGAATAACAATGCCTTTCTAATAATTGCAAGTTTACCGGTGAAGGACCGATCTGGGCACATTGCTGCAGGAGGATTTCCAGGTCATCCTGTAACTGATGAATATTTTAACACTTGTATGCCAGAAAGCCAAAAAAACACCAATTACACTAACTGTTTAAGACTCTCTCAAAATCAAAAACTAAAAAAACTGAAAACTCCTGAACACATTCGGTGTGCTGCTGCTCATCTGTTACTCATGTTAGAGCATAAATCTCTGTACTGGGTCTGGCTGGAATGTCAACTTTCCCAGCAGCAGCCCATACAGTGCCGTACTCTGTACTTGTAGCTGGAACAGCAGTGTTATCACACCAGTGTTGTGTGTACTGCTGAGCAGCAGTGGCACAGCATTGGGCCTTTCTCTAACCCTCCTAGGGGGTGGGCAAAAGGTGAGGAGAGAAACATCACTAGGGCAGCTGACCTAAACCAATCAAAGGGATATTCCATACCATGTGGTGTCACACTCAGCAATAAAAGGTGGAAACAGGAAGAGGAGGGGAGGGCTGGGCTCTCGTTGAGAAGATGAGAAGACGTTGGTCCTCCTCTCAACACCGGCTGCGTGCGTTGAGGCCTTGCTTCAAGGACGTGGTCAATCATCGCTCATTTGTGGGAAGTAGAGAGTAATTTCTTTCCTCTGCACTTCCATATAGCTTTCATTTATTTTGTTTGTTTGTTTTCCTCCCTTCTTTTTATTTTCCCTTTTTCCCCTCCCTTTCCCTTTTTATTTCCCCTTAGTTAAATTGTTTAGTTCATGGTAGTCTTTATTTAATTATTATAATTATTTCCCTTTAATTAAATTATCCTTATCTCAACCCGTGAGTTGTTCTTTGCTTTATTTCTCCCCCTCCTCATCTAAAGGAGGGGGAGTGAGAGAGCGGTTGTGGGGTTTAGCTGCCCAGCACAGTAAAACCACCACAATCTCTGAAGCTGTCTCTTTTCAAAGCATCTTTCCATCAGTAATGCCTTAAGATTTCCAATAGATTGTATTTTTTTTTCCTGTTTTGCACCTACATAAAGCTTTAATGTGGAACAGAAGAGTGTGGATACTTCTGCCTTTCTACCTTTGCTGAAATGCTAACTGGCAGCCTAATGTGCCCCTTAAGAGCTTGACTTGCTATTTCTTTCTGAGTGCTGAGAATGAATGTTTTGGGGTGTCGTGCAGCAGATACCTGTAGTAAAATTTTAAAGTAGATTTACACTTTAATGATTAAAAACTCAGTGTCCGGAAGCTATTTTTGAATGCCTACTGAAGGTCATGCAAGTAAGATGTAACAGAGATATAACATCTTGATTCATATGAAATGCTAGAATAACTCAAACACCTCAGATTCATTATGAATTTTCTTTCATACGATACAGGTTTATTTTCATATTGTAGGAAAGATAAATGCCAAGCAACTAGATATATTTGTCACTCTATATATAATTTACAAATGAAACTGGGCAGAAATCATTCCTATTTTTTGTTTGGTTAGCTGACTCCTCAGAAAAAAAGGAAAGAGGGGAAAAATGAGTTGAATTAAGACTTTTTCATCCAGGAGCAGACTGAGTAAACTATTTATCTGCTTAGTTGTTAAGTGCTTCCATTAGAAAATACTTTGTAAATAGATGTGTTTATTTTCTTCCAGTGTTTCAATGGACTCTTAAAAAATTTGCCTGTTTTCTTTTCTTTGCCTAGTAGAGCTTTATGATTATGCTAAGAATATTGAAATAATACCAGAAATTGATGTTGTGTCATATCCCACTTCAGTGTAAGTTCTGTTTTATTTCTTTGCTTGGCTCAGAGACCCAGCAATCCTGGATAGCCTGGATCTGACAGAGGAAGAGAGGCGTGTATTGATTGACAATATTAACAGGCGTCTGACACCACAGGCAGTCAAAATCCGAGCTGGTAAGTTCTCTCCAGATGTTAATTGAATAGACTTGACAAGTCGAGTATATCTTGTAAACTTTAAACTCATTTAAAAGTGGGGGTTTGTGGTGCTGATGTTTGAGTGAAACTGCTCTTCCAGTGTTAAGATATGTTAGTGCTTGCAGAATGCCTGATGGTCCTATCTCAAATCCCAAGGTGGTTTGGCTTTCCCACCGCACTTTTCCAACCCCCCAGCTGCAGGTTCCTTGGGACACAAGTTAGTTGTCCTGATATATAATGCAGTTAGTCACATTCCACTGGCATACAATGAATTTAAATATTTTATAGATATTACTGAATCCACAATATTCTTATTATTCAAAGTGTTAAATTCTTTGGTTCTCTAACAGGATGATTGATCACTGTCAGCATGGCTAGGTTGTATGTCATCTCCTTGTCCATGAACAAGTGAGAATAATTATGATTTTGCTGTGGGCGTATTTCTAGCTGATTGTTTGTAAACCTCTCAGATAGATATATTAGCATATGTCTAATGTATTCATGAAGTTTATGAGCTGGTTTGTCTCCTACTAGCTCTGTTAGTGGTCAGAAAAAGCACACTAGACTCACTAGAAGATTGTAAAGCTGGTTGTACGGGTAACCAAGCAGCCTAAAAGCATGCTTGCCATTAAACAGATAGTCAGTGATCAGCTTACAAGCCAAGAAATTGGAATGTTTCCTCAGTTTTGGAAGGTACTGAGGATCTCATTGTGAATAAACATTGGTTGCTAAAAAGTTTTTAATAAAGCTTAACTTAAAAAAATCTTTAAACATTCTACAACTTTTGATAACTTCAAAGTTTTATTGTTTGTATTCATCTGTCTTAGATATTGAAGTTGCCTGTTATGGTTATGAAGGCATAGATGCAGTAAAGGAGGCTTTGAGAGCAGGCTTGAATTGTTCCACAGAGACCATGCCCATTAAAGTAAGTATTTGTCTTAACTATGAAATCAATAGCAAAGTTGTCTGATGTCCTCGATAATACCTTTCAGTTGTCACAGTTGCATAAGTGAGGCTGAGGAACTATGTAGGGACAATGGATGTCCTTTCTGGTTTTCCTGTCTAGCGCACACAGGGGACACTTCCCTGCAACTATGTGGTCCCAGTTCTTGCTGTGGCTTTCCAAGTTCAAGAAGCTGTATTTGTTCTCTTCAATTAACTAAGGTTCAATATTTGCATACTAAATACTTGCTGTTCCTTTATACAGCCTTAGAGCAGGTAGAGGACAAACATTTTTATTTTCAGAGATAAGACTGTGTAAGAAAAGGAATACTTTGTCCACATATGTTTGAGTGTTGGTAGAAAGCCTACTATACCCAGGTCTAAATTTTCTGCCCCAACCTCTTAAGGATATCGAACACATTACTGAATAAGTGTTTTCAGAAAACTGGAAAGTTTCTTTGAAATAGTTTCTTAGAGTGTTTTCTTCAAAAGAAAAAGTTCATTCATCCAGTCATCTTAAAAATAAAAAATAAAAATATCTATTGGTTGTTGCAGTTTTTTAATTGTTTGAAAAATTGTGGTAGGCTGCTTTACTTACCTGCAAGGTGGGTATTCTCTCTGTTTAACAATACCTGTCTATAAGAGCATACTATGTAAAAATAATTGGTTTTGATACCAGAAATCAGACAGCCTGTGTGCTTTCTTGTGTGTTATTTCATTCCATGTTATTTGTACTTCTAGAAATAACTTTTCTAATGGAAAAACATTTCTTTTTTGTTACTGAGTATATTTTTTTGTTATTTTTTGGTTTTGTTTTTTCCGCCCTGCAATGTGATAGATTAATCTGATAGCCCCTCCTCGATATGTGATGACTACTACAACCCTGGAGAGAACTGAAGGACTCTCTGTTCTGAATCAGGCCATGGCTGTCATTAAAGAAAAAATTGAGGAGAAGAGAGGAGTCTTTAATGTGCAGATGGAGGTGAGAAGACTTTGCATTCTGAAATCTGATTTATTTTTTCCTCACAACATTTTATAAACAGAGCAAGATCAGTAGTGCTAAGAGAAATCTTAGCAAGAGATATTGAGAAACTAAAAAAAAAAAAAGGCATAATTTTCAGTATTCATTAAATAGATGGCCAGAAATCCTAATTTTCCTAGGTTTTACTGCCTCACTAGTGGATTTATTTCAATATCTTTCTCCTTAGGATCAGAGCCACCAACCATGACTTTATTTTCATATTTATTTGTAGACTGAAGAGGGTGTTTTTTAATGATTGTTCATCATGTGTTGTGTGATTGTTGTTTTTTTTTCAGCCTAAGGTGGTTACTGATACAGATGAAACTGAGCTTGCAAGACAGTTGGAAAGACTGGAGAGGGAAAATGCTGAAGTGGATGGCGATGACGATGCTGAGGAAATGGAAGCCAAAACTGAAGACTAAATATTCTGGGATTATTTAGAAGGCAGAGCGTGTGAAAGATTAGAGACCCCATTGCAAACTCTGGACTAAATGTTTCCAGTATTGAAAACTTCAAATGCAAATACTTGAAGTGTGTTACTGTTTTAAAAAGACCAATACATGGAAGCCTCTCCTAAGTAACATTTGATGCAGCAACTTACACAAATAGAATCCTTCAAAAGGAGGGTGCCTAGTCATATTCAAGACTCACATCTCATGAATAGAAGGAGGCTTCAGCCCCATGCTTACCATTTTCTTACGTAACAATTCCAAATTGGCAATTACAGCTCAGTGCATCTGATAGTGATGTTTTCTGGGAGTACCAAAACCAAACAGGTTGAACAGTTCTATACAGAATGTATCTGACCAAATATTCAATAAATTTCTGAGCTACATAACTCCAAGTTTTTTTGATCTTCTGTCACATTGCTTAAATTGGTATGAATAAAACCTGGAAGAGTATGATCAGTCAGTCAGTAGCTCCCCTTTAACAACGAAAAGGGCTTTCTTTTGTTGTTTTAAATCAATGCAAGAATGAGTGGAACAATATTTTTCTTAGAAACTTGTTGATGCAAATTTATTTAAAAGAATATCTCCTCTGGTGTTTTTTTTCCTGTATTTAGGGATGCAGAACTTGTAAGTTGTGAATGTAGCTTTGAATATAACTTGTTACAATTTCAATAAATATAGTTGAAAAATTAGATATAGTTACTTTGCTCCTATATGTGAACATAGCAGGAGCTTTAATTTATTCATACTTCAAAATAGACATTGCTGTCTTCCAAGCTCACTGTTGCTTGACCTTCAGTTCTGTCTACCCTAGATCTAGTTTGCATTGGACTGAGCTATTCACTCTATAAACAACCAGTTTATCTTCTCTGGAGGAGAAACAAGATCTGCTTTCCATGTTGCAGTGAAAAAATCCTGTTTGTCCTTGTCTGTGGGCATTGAGGAAGTTCTATTTTAAGTAAGCTTTCCAAATTACTGAATTTTTAAATGGATTTATCTTTTTCACAGTCATAGCCTATATTGCCTATCTCTTTTTCTTAATGTTTTGTGCTGCTAGTAAAGTAGGAATTCTTAATGTTGCCATAATACAATGTCATTGCTACAAGGTGTTGCTAGAAAAGACATTCACAAAGTGTGTGTATTGAAATACGTGCTTGATTATCAGAAAAGTTCATGTGCCCAACTTTTACTATGTAAAGCCAAAAAGGTAACTTCCAGTCTTTGCAGAATGTTGGAAAATACCTGAGCATGTCATCACAAAGTGTTTTTTATGGTTACCTTGTCAAATCATTTTATTTTTAGAAGTTACATATGACAGCCTTGTCAGGGTTTGAAGCTGTATTCTTCCAATGATAATTTCGGTTTCATTTTTATGAACATCTCTTCCATTTTGGCCAATTCACCAAAACAGTGAATTGACCTGCATTCAACATTCATGTAATATGTGGATACTCTGACAAAAGTACAAAGTTTTTAAAACTAAAACATCTCTCTGTTATCTGTATGCCAAAATAATGCTGTAAAGCAAGGCATTGAAAATGAGCCGGTCTTGCTCTTTACTTAAGACTGTTACCAGGGGATTACAATTAATGTCTCTAAAAGCTGCCTTGGTGCATTAATAGGGGAGCGTCATTTCTGTCAGTAACTGGATATTTCTCATGTGTTGCAGTAGCTGGGAGAAGGAGCCCTGAGATGGCTGCTTGCAAGGACTGCTAGCCTGTGAACTGTGAGTTAAGGGTCCTTAGCACAAACTGAGCTGATACCTTCTGTCGCAGCCAGTCTGCTGTGCTTGGAACTGTGTTTGCCTACAAAGCATTTTAATAAATGTAGTAGGTTTTGTGTGAACAGCTTTGTGGAGTCAGTAAGAGGCAGTGGAATTGGCATGTTGTTCTCTGTAGCCAGATCTGCACTTTGGTATTTAACTTCTCATAAATCTTTGATCCAGGGAATACAGTTAAACAGCTGTTTTCAAACATTGCCACCTTTCTGCAGTTAACTTTAAAATGCTCTTACATCAGAATACCCTTGAACGCTTGTCTTTAACTTATATCTAGAAATGTTTCATTAGTTTTTATTTTGATGTGGTTTGTTTTCATCTTATTTCATCCCTAATCCCCTAAAGGAACTACGGGTTTAATGGCGTCCTACACTGGAGGGCAAAGTCCTAACATTTAAAGAAGCTGTTTTGGAAAAGCTGAATATATGTAATCCCCCATGTGATGCTGTTCACATTATAATATTAATGGAAATTGTAGAGCATGCAATGGGGATTGTCCTTTGGGCAGGTTCTCCTAATCAGGGATTGTTAGCTTCGTGGGGGACTAAACTGGAGGTATGAGTAATGAAACAACACACTCTGTGTTTCCAGTTAACCCTGCGTCTGTGGTCCTGAAGTCTACAGATAGCTATTCCTAATCATGCTGATGCAAATTCTGTACTGCATAAAGTATTTTGGGGTCATTTTGAATGGAAAAAAAATGTCAGTTGCTCAGCTGTACTATTTTGTTAAAACGCTATGCTGGCATTTAGGAAATACCCTGTTAAAATGGATCTGATGAAACAGTCCTCCTCAGTGGTTTTAAATTCCCACCAAAGACTTAGTTTTCTATAGCTCTCTAGCTTTAAATGGTTTGAAGCACATCCTTTTCTACCAAAAGACTTGAAAGCCAGAGCTTGCCTTCCCAGCACATACTTGAATATGACAGACCAAAGCTACTGACTCATTTGACGGTATATGACCCTTTTCCTACAAAGCCAAGAAATCTGTTTTTACTTAACCTCAGAGAGTAATATATGGGCAGTTTGTTAGCCTTGAATAACCTCTATAGAATGGGGGGTGGGTATGTGTACATTACAAAAATCCCAAGTATTGAAAGAATGCTTAGAAGCATTGAAGAATTTAAAAAAAAAAAAGAATCTATATTTAAAAAAGAAAGAAAGAAACCTGATACAAAACCTGTTGTTTAATGACCAGCTAGGGAAATTTTGCTTCAAAATTCACCAGCAGTTTGAGAATAAAATTTTTCATTGCTAGTAGTAATTTTGCCAAGAAACTTCTGTAGTGTTGTGGGTGGTCTGCATGCTGGGGAGAAAAAAAAAAAAAAGCTCACTTGCTCAGATCTTCGACCAGGGCTGGTTATTGTGTAATTTTGAGATCACTGTCTGAGCGAGAGCCCCCTGCAAGCTTCTGCCTGTCCTCACTAGCATGGAATTACCTGACCCACCTTGTTACGGATTGCCTGCAGTAACAAGCCAAGCAATGTGAAGTCAAACCTCAAGTACAGTGCAGTGGAACACTACTCCCAGAGCTGGTTGTATAAAGTGTGCCAGTCTAGGAAACAAATGTGGTGTTAATGTATCTTGTCTACTTTGACTCAAGGTTTTTTTTGTTTGATTCAGTATTGGTCATGTCCTTGTGTGCTTCCTTTTGTGACTTGTTCATGTGTTATTACCTGAAGTTTAACAGTGGTGGAGCAGTGCAGGTCTGTAGAGGAATTAGTTTAATTCTGATATATGGGGCATTCAGTGAGCTAAACTTTTTTTTTCTGACTTCCTCAGTTTTGATTCCAAGATTCCGCTTCTGTACATACTTTTATTTGTATATACATTTATGCATATACACAGAGACAGATCATTCTTTAAAAAAAAAAAAAGATAAAAATGTTACTTTCTAATTTCAGGTCATAAAAAAATAAATATTTTTCTGTGTGAAAATTTATAGTGCTATATTTGAGAACATGATGTACCTGTAAGAAAAACTAATCCTGTAGGTGTCCTTTTAAGCTTACTGAACTCAGTTCAAACAGCCTGAAGAACCAGCTAAATGTGAACTGACTTACACAACTGCTTGTCATGGGCCTGCCTTCTTTTTCCAGAGTGGCAAAGGGAGTATAGCAGGAGCTCTGCACTTCCTGTGGGTTGGCTGCTTCTGAAACCTCAGCTAGCATATTCTCTGTTTATATAGGAATGGATTTAAAAAAAAAAAAAAAAGTCTTCAGTTACACACTGTATTTCTCGTGATCTATGCAGAGTTGTTCTCTGGGTAGTCTCCAGCATGTTGTCATGTTTGAATACCTTTTTTGGTATCTCACTCTTCCTCCCTCCTCCTTAGAAATTAGAAAAATTATATAAAGATAAGGTAATGATTTGCTTGTTCCTTTTCCTCAATACAGGAAAGTATGACCAGTAATCTGATCCAGTATGCAAAGACTGAGATACGTGAGTCAACTTGTCTTACCTAAGAACTCTGGACTCTTTTTTTTTGTGGGTGCATAGCAACAAGTGCTTTTGTTATTTGTTTTACTGTACGTCATTTTTCTTATCACAGTCTTTATCCACATATATCACCTTAAATTGGCTGCAAGTCATGGAATGCTAACAATACAGCAAAGACTATGCACAGCAGCTCTGTCTGCAATAGTTACTAACACTGGCTTATTTCTTCAAGACTTATCAAATAGATTTATCATGGCCGAGGTTTTCAAAAATAAAAATAATAAAAAAACACCTCGAGCTCATATTCAGGCACAGAAAAGGCACTGTTTCAAAAGCTCTCAAGATTTTCAAGAGGTTCCTGCACTGGGCTTATTCATCAAACCACTTTTCTAAAAACCCAAGTAGTTGCTTACGTAGAGATTTAGGATATTCAGTTGAAGTAGGCTTATCTGGGAATCTTGGTTTACGTGTCCAGGGATCACTGAAAGTAGAGTGGGCTTTGGGAGACATTCGGGCTTCTTTGGTAAAATAAATTACTATCAAATTATTTTAAGGTTTGTAAAATTCTCATTGTAATTATAATATTTAGTATGTTACACTCAAGGTGTTCTGATCTGTAGAACCCCTAGAAGATATGCTTATTAGATGAGAAATTTTATGCCAGAGTGGACTTTTCTGAGATAGTTTTATAACTCTGCTTCTCCCTCCCATGCAGTTCCTGTGTCTCACCTCTTTTGTCACCGTGAAGCTGTTGCTTACCTTGGCTTACTCACTCAAGGGTGGCTTTTTTACTATACTGAATTCTATTAAATCCCCTTGAGATCCTTTTTAGACTTCCCTTTGTTTTCCTCCCCGCAGGGCAGGTAATGTATCAGAGCCAGCTCAATGTTTAACTAATGTCTCACAGAGCGGGAGAAAAAAGGGAAGGGAGAGTACGTCACGCAGGAGGAGGGTCGCGGAGAAAAATGAGCTTGCCTGAACTCCTCACGTGCAGAGAGACAGACTGCCAGGGATCAGGTTCTTCTCAGCGGGGGCTCATCTCTCCTGCCGGCTGGCCGTGATGCAGGAGGCAGCTGGAGTCCTGAAGGAGGGCTTCCTCGTCAAACGGGTAGGTGCTGTGGCAGCGCCGCGAGGGCTCCTGCGCGCGATGCTCTCCAAAGGTGGAAACAGCCCCTGAGAGGGGACCTGATGGAGCCAGGGCTCTTGGCAAGGCAGCACATTGAGCACAGGTTGAGGAGCTCCTCCACATCCCTACAGGCTCCTGTGGAGGAAGCTCCAGGCTTTACCTGCCCTCCCTCCAGTTCCCCATGTTGGCGTTTGCCCAAAGGAAAGTGAGCGAGCTATCAGTGTTGCTGCCTCAGTTTTTGGAAAGCCGGTACATCTGCACCTAGGGCACACCTCTGCAAAGCGCACACAAAAGTAATAGTACCTGGTGAGAGGCTACGTGGCACCACGGAAAGTGGCCACAGGAGGGTGGGCAGAGGGGAGATGTTTGGAAAGTCTCTCAGGACAGTTTGTGCCTTCTTAAGCAGACAGCTGAGCAGGGTGTGTGAGAGGATGGGGAAGAGATTTTCTTTTTAAAGCGGGTGAGAGCAATATGAATATGGAAATGTATCTGATACAACTTTTCTTGCACACCCCAAAAGCTCCACTGTAAGAAATTTTCAGCTGAAACGTGGAGAAATCGACTGAAAGACAGCATGACAGCTTTCAGCCTTTCCCGACGTTTCTCCTCAGGGGATCGAATCAGTTAGTAGAGGGCAATGGTGCAGGGGGCACGAGCAGCTTTCCGTACCAAGTCCGCCTCAGTGACTAATATGGTCTTTGTGCACTTGAAGTGCAATTCAAAGGTTTGTTCAAAGCTTTGCCACGCCTTGGGAAATGCTTTCCTACAGTACGTATCTGCTTCTGGTGCTTCCGCGACGGTAACTCTTGTCGGGAGCTCTCCTGGCAGGGCTCACGGCTGCGGGGCGCGGGAAATCCAAGCTATGCCCTGCTGCCCCTTCCACAGAGAGGGCAGAGCAGCCCCAGCTCCTGCTCTGGGTTCTGGGCTACAGTCGTCTTCTGTGTCTCTTACGTGACTACCGAATTGGAGAGGGGAAGCCGAGGAACGGGTGTCGTCAGCATGCTGAGCTGTGACTGCTGGCTGGCTGTGCACCAGCACCGAGGTGTGCAGTTGGATAGAAAGGAGGCCAGAAAGGAGATGAATAAAGGACACTGAGGGAGGAGCGAATGAGATCCAGAGGGGGGAAAAAAAAAAAGTAAAGGGATGGGATCAAGTAAAGGAAATGGATTTCTTAAGAAGAGCAGATGCAAGGAGGAAGTATAAATCCATGATAAATGACTGAATTACGTATTATAATGTATAAGTGCAATGTGTGACAGGTAAAATTGAAGGAAAAAAAGGTAATGTCACGTTCTAAAAGGAAATCTCTGAGAAAGAAAGAAAAGAACCGTAGCAAAGGAGAAGTGGACAAGGGAGTGTGCATCAGGTAAAAAAGTGGGGAAGGTGAAGGGAAGAACAAAACCAAGCTAGATTAACTGTGTTGAGTATAGACTAGCAGACGTTAGAACTAACATGCCCTGGATTTTAGAGACTCATTACCCCACTTCTGTGGAAATTGCTGGTTTTCCCCTTTACTCATAGCAAGTTAATGAGCTTTGATTCCTGCCACGACTGGACCTTGCATGTTCCTTCCTCCTACCTGTACCCACCTCTCCCAGGTGTCAGAGCTGCCTGTGCCCGGGCTTTGCCTGCAGGCTGTGATGCTCCCGTCGTCGTCTGCAGGAACACAAGGCAGCTCCTGCACCATGAGGCGGGACCTGACCCCGTAGGACAGGACCGAGCCTGTCGAAGCCAGCCCTCGCTCAGCTTGCTCTCCCATGCAGCTGGGTGAAAGACAGCCAGGGGCTGTTTATGGAGGGGAAGGAAGAGGTATTTTGTTCCATATAACCCAGGATGTACCTGACAGCAGCCGTTGCTCAGTCTTTTGCCATTAAAGAGAGTATTTGCCAAAAAAACAGTAGCACAGGGAGCGTTTTAGCCCAGGAGGCTGGAGGTAGGTAGGATAGAAATAAAGCACCAGCTGGCAGCAGGAGGGGATGTAAAGAACAGCCAAATCACACAGCAAAGCACTCTCTGGACCACTTGGCACCTACAGCCACAACCAAAATGACAATGAACAAAACAGATGAACACTCAAGGGCACTGCAGAGAAAGGGTTTGTCTCCTAGAGCTGCCGACCACGCCGACGCACTCACTAATTCAGATTTAGCCCTGTTCCTGCCCACTGCTGTCAGCAGGCGGGCACGCACCCAAGTGACGGCTCTTTGAGATAATTCTTATGAGCTTTTGCAAGGAACAATTCTTGCCAGCAAGAATGTTGTTTCTGCTGGAGAAAGCAAAGCACCTTTCTGTTCTTGCTTCCTGTTTTTACACTGGTGGAACTGGGTTATTTCATTGCTAAAGATGTGTATTTCAGGGAGAGCTGAAATCAGGACTGACGATGACTTCTCATGTTTCTTTTCATGTGGTTCCCTATTGGCTTATGGTATTTACATGAAAACAAAAAAGAAAACACACATTTTTCAATGCTTGTATTAATACGTGCATTTCTTCCCCTCTAGGGACATGTCGTTCATAACTGGAAAGTAAGGTGGTTCGTTCTGCTTCAGGATAAGCTCCTGTACTATAAATTTGAAGGAGGCAAGAAGGAGTCTTCTCCAAAGGGCAGGATCCTCTTGGATGGCTGCACTATTACTTGTCCATGCTTGGAATATGAGAACAGACCGGTATGTCTAGAAAAATGTATCCCTTCCTGCTGACACTCGCTTTCTAATTTCTCTCTTGTGTTTTCCTCTCCTCCTGATTTATTTGGTTTCTATAACTATATCACTGAGGCATGTGTTACCAGAAGTAGGCCTTACTAAAAGTGAAACTGCTGTTTGTCAATGTAACCAGGACTAGCAGTTAACTGCCTCGTTGTGTCTTTGTCATTCCCTGTGCTGAAATCTGAGGTGCAGTCACCAGTAAAAAGAAAAGAAAAAAGGGAAAAAAAAGCCTCACACACATGGAAGAATAAATGCAAATGCATCATCCCAACAATATGTGAAGAGGGGACACGAGCAGCTCAATTAAACCTGAGAAGGATGGGGAGAAAAGACAGCTTATCATCTATGGTAGAGGCTGTAAACACTGTATTCACACAGGGCTCTCAGGCAGGCAGGTCAGACTCCCTTTTCCTTTCCCAGTGGGTCCGCACTGCTGTGGAAAGTTTGCAGCAAAAAGGCTTTGGAAAGGAAAGTGCCTCCTGGGCTTTTCCACTCAGCCATGGGCAGCAGTCATGCAGACTTCCCCTCAGAAGAGCCAGAAGGGAAATGACTATGTAAATTGCTGACTATTTCAGTACATCTCATGGAAGAATGAGCCTAGTGAGAGTTTCATTGTTGATAAGCAAGAGATCTGGATGTGAAAACTCCACAGTCAGCAGCACGCTCCTGTGTCATCCCGTTTCTGGGCAGTGTGCTCTCTTTCAAGAATTACTATCTCCATATATACAAACCGTGCTTGTAACCAAAAACCCAGGGATCTAAGGATAAAAGAATCTCCCCAAAAAAATGAGCTGTATCCAGCATCCTTCAGGCCAGTATTACCCCAGAGGGATGCCATATCCCACTAATTTGTCACTTGGGCTAGTGGTGAAAGAAGCAAAATGCGAGTGGAGGGCAAGAGCTAAATGTTATTACTGATGCTAAATATTATTACTGCTTTGCACTTCTCTCTCCACAGCTACTCATCAAACTAAGGACAAAAACCAACACAGACTATTTCCTTGAATGTTGCTCCAGAGAGGAGCGAGATTCTTGGGCTTTGGACATCACTGGAGCCATTCATGCTGGTCACCCAGTGCAGGTGCAAGAGCTTCACAGAATGAAGAATTCTTTCAAACTGCTGGAGAATATCAGCCTGCAGTAAGTGCTTCTAGTTTCATCTTCCACTGTTGCTGTAGTCTGCAAAGTACCTGAGCTGCTGGATGGGGAGGGTCAAGGGAAACTTCTCTCTGCACAGATCTGCTCCTTCATGGCCAGGAGCCTCTATACTGGCTGCTCTGTCCGGGATTTGCACACACTTTTGTCAGGGCACAGGAATGCATTTTTTTTCCTGACCCTCATTTTTGGGTGTCTAGGGGCTCTGCACAGGCACGCCACTGCTGGCTTGAAGGCAGCTAGCCAGCTGCAGAGGTGTTCTGACTGAGGAGATGCATTACCTTGCAAGTTGTAAGTCACAACAAGACTGTAATAACTGCGTGCCATGTTGGTGAGCTTTCAAAGCTGACAGCCAGAATCCAGGCTAGGATTTCTAGGGTGCATCATGTTAAATGAGAACTTCTATTAAGAAATAGGAAAATGATATGAATTTGATTTGTGTTGAGATGGTTAAAGGAGTCTGACTGCAGCCCAATTTGAAGTGCTTTAAAATAAAAGATACATCATGAGGCGTCTTTTTTAGTGTTGTGCATTGGGAGAATAAAGTCTTCCTACAACAAACTCAGGACTAAACTAATCCAGATTGTTTCCAGGATTTATGCTGGTAATCATTAGGACATCCTGGGCACTGACAGAAGCATGTGACAATTTCTGCCTGACTTTCTGTTAAAGTGACATTGTCCTGTGTACTCTTTTACAGCCACATAGTGGATAAAATGCGTGACAGCAGTACTGGAATTAAGCTGACCCGCAACTTGGAGCAAGGCAACAGATACAAAGAGACCTTCACAGGTATGCCTGCCGCAGACAAAGGACTTCCTCACATCTGACATGCCACATTGCCGGGACAAGGGAGCCACTGCACTGGCTTGATGGTGGGATCAGTTATGGCCCGCTGGAAAGTACTGGTGCAGCTGAATTCTCCAACACCTTTCTTTCTTGCTCTGTGGATATATGGAAGCATACATAGGACCCCACTCTTTCAGTCAACCTTGCACTTCACTGACAGCCTTTGTGATGGTGCCAAAGTGTTTTGTCAAAGGAAGGCCTGTTATGGCAGGAGACATTAGTCTCACCTTGGAAGAGTGGGTTGCCTTGGTCTGAGAGCTGCCTTTCTCCCTGCAGGCTCTGCCCTGGTGGACTGGCTCATCTCCAACAACTTTGCTGTGTCACGGTTTGAGGCCGTCACCTTGGCCTCCATGTTGATGGAGGAGAACTTCACCAAGCCCGTGGGAACCCGCAGCATTGAGGCCATGCGCTACAGCGACCTCTCGGAGCAGTTCCTCGACGACTCCACCGCGCTGTACATGTTTGTAAGTGGTGTGGCTGCCAGCAGAGGCAGCTCCTCTGCCTGTGGTCACGCATTTCATTTGAGGCAGTGCTGAAGCAGGACACACACAGCACGCACACAAAGGCAAAATATGTAAGCTGTGAAAACAAGCACTAAAGGGGCTGCTCTGGGCTTTCAGTAGTGTTAGTGCTTGTACTTTTGCTGTAAAAATAATAATAATAATCTATATGGATGTGGAAGGATGTACAAATAAGGTAATTTGGCATTAAAAAAGTAGCCCTTGGCACTGCTGTGTCTGCATTTAACAGAGGCCATAGAGAATTCACTTGGGGAAAAAAAAACACTAAAAACAGCTCAAGGAAAATCAAATGCAGAACTTTGTCCTTAAGATTAAAAATAAAATTGGAGCCATCTTTTCTGTGTTTGCAGGCTGAGAGCAGTAAGAAAATGCTCAGCTCCAAGGAAGAGCTACAATTTAACATCTCTGAATTAAGTGGCATGATCGTGAAGCAAGGATTCTTAGTGAAACAGGTAAATACAATCTTTGAACCTTCACTGTGAAGCAAGAAAAATGACAGCTCTTATGGCTGCAGGGAGAATGAATGAGAGTTACACAGGCATGGCTGGGGAGTTGTGCCCAGCAGACTTAAATTGCCCATCAACATGGTTATCAGAGATCATGAAATGAAGAGTGTGTGGCTGTAAGGATGTGAGCTATGGAAACTGCTGCTACTGCAGGATTCATTGGATATTCTGTATATATTGAGTGCGTACTGAAAGGTATAAAATAATACTGAAAACAAAAGTCCCACACATACTCCACCGGAGCTGTTATATTCACACCAAGTGGATCCCCTGTCCTTCTGATCACACCTATCCCATTGGGATTGTGCAAGCAGCTATGATGTTCTGCTGGCCATGGCCAAATTTCAAGGCTGGGAAGATTGTTTTTTGCATGAAGTAGGCATTAATTTGTGGACAGTCACTCATGCACGCACAGATGCTCTGCTGGGGGTGAGTCCTGTTTTCTTCAAGTGTAATTAACCTGTCAGTGGTAATTGCTTACAGGATTCCAACTCTTAGACTACGAGACTTAGTTTTAGGCCCTTGCCACAAGCAAGATGAGGATCAATCACATTGGTTCACAGCATAACACAGCCAGCTGCAGAAGGAAACCTGCATGCCTTGCATGATCACATTTTTATTCTGGATCTTTGTATGAAGAACTGTGGTTTTTCAGTACAAGAAAGGAGAGACTAAAAAATTATCAATCTATGAAGAAGGATGTTAGGCAGAAAATCCTGGGAGTTATTAAGATGACAGATTTTTTTTTCTCTGTTGTCTGCAAAACTTCTATTTTCAGTACCTACTTAGGCCTTCCATAGAGCCTGCAGGAAAGTGACAATTGCAGGAGGTATTTACTGGTGTTAACATTAATTCTTCCATTTTGCAGGGACACAAGAGGAAAAACTGGAAGGTGAGGAAATTTGTTTTGAGAGCTGAGCCCGCTTTCTTGCACTACTATGACCCCACTAAGGTATGTGAGTGTGGAGTTGGTACCCTCAGAAATCCTCTTCCAGACCTAAATATTATAATGAAAAGACAACACAGTCATGCTATAAATGTTTCTCTCTCCCAGATCTCCTGGATTCCTCTGTTGATGTCCTGGGAAATAAGACCTCTCTGGCCTTACTCTAGGAGGTTGTCCTTGTATGATTTTCTATCCCTGTGTTCCCTGCCTATCATTTCCTCACTGAGATTCCCTTTCCTTAGCTGTGGAGCAGCAGTTTAGGGGTTTGTACTGGGTCTGGCTGGAATGTTAACTTTCCCTGCAGCAGCTCATACAGTACTGGGTTCCTTTTTTGCTTGTACCCACACAGTCTGGGACCACAATCCTGCAGGGGTTCTTCCTGGGCTGTGGTGTTTCTGGGCTGACATTCCATCCATCACTTGACAGTGATTCTGCTATTAGGAGTTCCTGTGTTCTTTTTACAACACTGAATGGGGTCTCGTTGATCCCAAAATATTTACAGGAATTTCTGGCACTCAGATTTAAATGTGCTCAAGGAACAGTAGAGTTTGTCATTATGGGATATAACCCATCACAACGAGAGTGAGCCAGAAGGGCATGTGAATCCATCAGCCCCCGATGCACGGGGTTAACTGCAGAGCCCAAGAGGCCACTAAGATGAATATGTTACAGCAATGTTTCATGTAATTTTTAAAGAAAACACAAACAGCATAACAGCGAAAAGAAATTATGAGTCTGGTTCATGTTTTGTTGCCTGTTTCTTTGCGTGGGTTTTGTTTTTTTATTTTGTTTGTGTGGGGGGTCTCTTTTGGTTTGGGGTTTGGGCTTGGGTTTTTGTTATTGTTGGGATTTTTTGTTTTGTTTTGCATTGTAACTTGCCCTTGTAATGCTAGAAACTTGAACTTTGGAGTCTGGAGTTCAGACGCAAGAGCCAGCCTACTAGTGAAAATGGTCAGATTTTTTCCATACAGGCTCAGTGAATAGTTGCAAGCTAAAAACTTGCAGAAGTGTGTATGTGTATATACATATATTTAATATGGGTTGTTATTGATAAAACTGTGCATAAGTTTGAAATGTGATTGTTAGCCTACCTTTTGTGCTTTTAATTGGTCTCCACCCTTTCCAGATAACATCAAAGAAACGTCTGAGGCACAAACAAAATAGTAATACATTTAATTACATGTTCTGACTTCTGTGACTTGGATGTTTTGTATCCAGAAAGACTGGCATTACTTCTCCACCTTCATAAAAATAATTGGGGTGGTCTGGGAAATTATTCCAATTATGATATTTTGCAGCTAAGCCTCATTTCCCTTTTCTTTGCAGGAAGAAAACAAGCCAGTAGGTGGATTTTCTCTTCGTGGCTGTCTTGTCTCAGCTCTGGAGGACAATGGAGTCCCAGCAGGTAAAGCATGAGCCTCTAGACTTTGCTACTTATATACCTATGCTATAATAACACAGTCTTTGTGAGTGGGTTTGTGTTTATGGCTTGGTGTACAAATGAGTGGGTTAGCTTTTCTTCTCCTTTGCAAGTGAGAGAAGTTATGTCATCAGACATCCCCACACTGATGGGCTGTCCCATAAAGGAATTTTTTTAGAGTTACTTCTGGATATCCTGAGTTTCCTTTTTTTTTTTTTTTTTTTAATACACTGTTCTTAGTCAGGTGACCCCTCAGAAAGTCTCAAGATATAGATTAATATTTCGGAGTTAACAGCCAAAGAGGAAATGCCTTTTTGGGTGTTGTTGAACTCAAAGTCTTGAGGCACCCCTGATGCTGTCCTTTATTCATGTGTCCTCTCCACATGTATGTACTCTCATTTGGATCCCCTAGAATCCAGATGTAGGGGAGACCTAAAGACAGCAATATAAAAATCAATTCTGCTAGAGAATAAGCTTAGCTTACGCATTTGTCTAGAACCTCAACCTCACAAGTAAGTGTTTCTGCTATTAAAACAGTTTATTTTATTGTAAGCACAATGTGTGGATCACAAATAGGGAATATCTTTCTGAAGACAGAGACAGAGCCTTAAAAAAGATGCTGTCCAGGATGGAGGGCCATGAAGAACAATGCAGCTCCTTACTAACAGGAACCCAGAGATGGGCAGGAACAAATCTAACCTACTGCACAAACTAGTGGAGAGCTCATCTCTCCAGCGTACAACTCCAGTAAGATCCTACCTACTGCAAAGCAGCTCTCAGTGCACTTTCCTGATCTGTCACATTTTTCTCTCTGCAGGAGTGAAGGGCAATGTACAAGGCAACCTTTTCAAAATCATCACCAAAAATGACATTCATTATTATATCCAGGCCAGCTCCAAGGCAGAGCGAACACAATGGATTGAGGCAATCAAACCACTGACATGAGTAAGGTGGACTCAGTGGCAAAGGAAAAGTCACACTTGTGACCTAGTTTCCTATTCCCTTTGTCTGGCTTTTTTTTTTTTTTCACTTTGGCATTTTATTTTTGTTATTTGTATTTCCATAACACCTAGCAAATTCCTGACAGACCAGAATTGTAGGTGCTTAGGAGTCACGCAGATCTGGAATAATTCTCCACCAGGAATTTACCGTCTAACCAAGAGACAAAGGACGACAGGTGGATACAGACAAATGATGTTTTACAAGGAAACAATGAGATACACTATTCCAAGATGGAAGAAAAAGGAATCTCTTGTACAAGTATTCAGTCTATATCTGACAGATCCAGGTTGTGCTTTATTCTAAAGCAGAAATGTCTTCCTCCTTTCCCCTTTATAAAGGGGCTCATAAACTTAGTTATTTCACGTGGATTGAATCAAGGTGTGTGAACAGCGTCATAGTCTGAAAGGTCCTGGTGTCTGAGACTGCCTGATATGCTGTGAAAGAATTCTGTGCTAAGTCACAATTACGTGCTGGGATAATTGCTACTGGGAAACAGACTGGGGGGCTCTTTGTCCATCTGTCTGCTCTACTGTTTGCCTCTCTGTTATGCCAGAAAAGACCAAAGGATTTTCATCTCCAGTACATACATTATTCTTGTGCTGTTAATAACCCATGGTATTACATGATCCTGAGTATCAGATCAGTGGCAGGGCAGTTATTCCAGACAATGGCTGGTGCTGACTGTAGTGGAAAAAATCACTCAGCCCTAAAAGCAAGACTTCCTCGTGTTTATCACCATGAATCCATTTATGTGGAGCACCATGGGGACTGAGAACTCTAATAGCAATTCTCATTATTGCCCTTTTTTTTTTTTTTTTTTTTTACTTTAAGCAATTTAATTTTCAATTATTTGTCTACCAAGCTTGACGCTGATATCATTAAACATATATTTAAAAAAAAGTTCAATGCATTTGAGTCTCCTGTCCTCTTCAGACGTAATTTTTCTCAGTTGGAGTGTATGATCATAATGGTTTCATACACCTTAAACTTAGAATAATATGGGAAGTGAGACATTGTCCACAGAGCCAGAGTAGAATGGAATGTATGAGATGACTGAAACATCAGCCTGCTAATGTTCTATTTTTACAAAATTCTTCTGTTGTCTGAGTACCTTTATGTGACAGACTCTGTGGTCCCCAAAACCACTCTGGAGACAGCATGCTATATATCTTCCATAAAGTCACAGAGAAATTTGATAGCCCTCTATCCATAGAACCATCTTTTTACAGATTTTTTGCCTTCTGAGTTATGTATTTAAAAAATAAAAAATCTCTTATGAAGAGATTTTTTACTTCTTCCTGTGTTATTACCAAGCAATCAAAACAGAGACAAAGCCAGCGGCTATGGTATTTTAACAGTCACATATTTGGGACTCTTTTATAAATATACAGCAATGAAATCACAGCATAACGCTCATTTGCCTTCAAATATTTAACAAAGCTGCTAAAGAAATTTGCCAGTAAAGATGCAGTTTTAATCAGATGCAGAAATGGGCAATGCAATTTCAGCTACAGGTATAATTTCAGAGGGCTGGTTCAGAGAAGATTGTTAAATCTACAACTGTTGAAACTTTTCAGTCCCTGAGAACTCTACCTGCAAGAGACAGGGATGGTGGTAAGACATTTATTGCTCCCTACTAGGAAGCACATAGAGCTCATGCTGATTGAGCAGAGCTTCCCGGACAAGCAGTTCTCTCCTGATAATCTGAGACTCATTGGGGCTCTCCAGACTCGCTTGTTCACTCACAAGGAAGTATCCCAATTCCCTTTTCTCATTCTCAGTACCTGCACAGTGCCCAGTTCTAGTGACAAGGGTAACAGCCAGGCCACAACAAAGGACTGAGCTCCATGTCTGGGGCATGAGGGAACCACGAAGATACTGGATACTGCATAGCATCATAAGTCTTGCAGTTTGAGATACTGACACAGTACCTCAGCAGAGGCCCTCTGATCTATCTGGACCAGCCATATCTGCAATTTTTGAGCATGTATTAGAAAAAAAAAAAAGTGTATTTCAAACATATCAGCAAATGAAAAAGACAGTTCCAGTTCAACAGAATCAACCAGGAGGTTGATAGGGGAAAGTACATTTTTCTCTGTCCCATGCTGATATTGTGGTCGCTGTTCATTCAAGCCACTTTGGTAAGCTTGACATCCCCTGTGATCTGCAAAGCCTTCACCAAGTTCAAGGGCTGAATGCGGTGAGTGAAGTCACAGAGCTGCCGTCCATCAAGCAAGACCCGTATTTGCTGGTGTTCACATAAGAACTCCATCTGCGACAGAAAACAACAGGGGAGGGCTTTAGAGGCCAGCAGCAAAGCTGATTTCAACAGCATGGCCTTAGAAACCTCATGCAATAGTGACAGTGAAACACACAGTATACCAATTCTTCTAAAATGCCCATGATAAATAACCTACTCTATGCTGAGATAATACTATTAAACTCTTTATAGGGAGTTCTCTCAGTAAAACTAGAAAAAGAAATGCATGTCTCCTGTGAGGGCTTGAACTGCTGTTCTCCGTGCCATACTAGACTAGTATGCCAAGGTTCTTAACCTGGCAATTTCAAAAGCTAGCAATTTGAGGTGATATACATAGCCTTCAGCTCTGCTCTTCTCCTTTTCTCCACCCTATGCATAATACCCCAAAAATTACCTTAAATGTGTCCCCAGCTGTAAATGGAAAGTAGGGAATATTCTTCTCTTCTATCCCCCACTTCCCAGCAATTCGTGCGTTTCGGGTGATGGATTTGTCACTAAAGTTAACTGTAAATAGCATCCCGACATCTTTGTTTGCATCCACTGGATCACAGAGCAGAGTCACTGAAAAGCTAGAAAACAGTTAAATGACTGTGGATTTCAGAATTGTAAAAGGACATGGGGAACATGCAGATGCTTATAAGGACTAGAGACAGCTGTTGATTTTCACACCAAAATGTGGGACTCCTACAGGGACTGTGCACAGGCTTAGAAGCTGCAGAAAGGGCTGAGAACAAGACATTCTTTGTTTCTCTTCCAGTTTCCAGTAGGACGCTAGTGACTTCTGATTTTGCTTTCCCTCTCTTGTGATTGAAATGAAACAAATATTTGTGGATAACAATTCCAATTTGTGTCCTAAAAGAGGTTATAGAAAACGCTTCACTTGTGAAAGGGCTGGAGTTGATTGCCAAAGATGCAAAAAAAGTGTAATGATAGCACAGTTGCTGTCATCTAGACTAAACAGAGCAATGGACCTACAATTCCTGTCCCAAAACCACTAATTTTTTAAGTGGTGTTGATTCCAGCCACCAGCAGTCAGCCTAGATATGGATTCTGAATTGCACCTGTTCCTGGAAGAGGAATGCCACTTGTTCACCCCCCTCTAGTTCATATTTAGATAAAGTCAAGGAGTAGAAAATGCTGGTGGAACAGTCAGAAAGTCCAAATAGTGAATCATTTCTCAACATTCTCAATTTAAGAGCAGAAAAAATAGAGACGTAAATTATGAATCTGTATGTCTTTCTTCATCCCAAAGAGCACAGACACTCAAGAAAACTGAATTTAAGGCATGCAGGAGAGCATATGAGAACAGGTGACCCCCACCTACCTCTTGGGATTGGAAGGTACCATCCCTATGACAGTGATTCTCATGGCAGGTCTCAGTCCACCTTTAATTTCACCAACATACTGCTCCACCTACAGGGGAGAGGGGAAACGATGTGCAGTAGATTACCTCTGATAGCTTGATTGCATTTTTATATATAAAGAGCGTTTTAAAATATCTCCCCCCTGAAGTACTTTTTATGCTTTTAGTATGAAGTCTGTCAGTTCTGGTATTGTAGGCAAACAGGAGGGCTGACGTGAACACGGTGACTGATGCTGGCCTGGTGGCTGACTGCCAGGACCATCGACCCTGGTGGAGGGTGTGTGACGGAGGGCCGGAGGGCCGCGGTACCTGTGCCATACCTGACAGGCACGCGTGGTCAGTGAGTACTGCTGGGACTGCCTGGGCAGATGTGATCAGCACCATTGTCAAGGTGACCCTTGTGCCTCAAGTGACAGGAGCCACACCTCAGACAACCCAGTGATATGACACAACAGTCTAATGACACAGAAAATCAGGTCATGACAGCGCTCCACAGAGCAGATTAAAAGCTCTGAAGCAGCATGATGCAGGCCATTCACACAGAGTGTGAATTTACTCTGTCAGCTCAAATTTGTTAACAAACGTTGATAGGTTAACTTGGTATCAAAAGGCTTCACACCAGGTCATAAAGCCACCACAAACTCTGTGTTTGGACAGAAACACCACCACTGTCTCCTCTTCCTGATCCCAACCACACTGGTACCAGCTAACACAGTGCCCCATGCTAATCATCCCTGGCTGTCATCTTGAGGTAGCTAATCCTCCCTGGCTGTCACCTTCTTGTGGCCATGCCACACAAGAAATGATTTGGCAGAGATGCACTGGCTTTTTGCTGTCGGGAGCAGGAGGTAGGCTGAGGGGCCCTGAGGCAGAGCCAGCAAGTGGAGGTCAATCTCCATACGCTCACAGTGCACGGAATGGGTTGGGATGGAGTAAAGGTCAGTTTAAGCAGTTCACACTGCTTCCTTGTATTTAGTCAGAGGTTCCATTTCTTCTTTGTATTTACCAGAGGTAGACTCTGATGTGCCTTTAAGTACCTTTAAAATGCCATCACTTTTTGGTGATCTACTTTTCTCCTGTTTTTGTAGTTGAAAACTCCACTGGAAGACCAGAGCTACATTTTTCAAGTAATTCTCTCACTGCTTTGAGGGTCAGTGGAGAAACTAACAGAGGCAATGGTTAGCATGGAAAAGTAAGAGAGATTTTGGAACCAAATAGCAGGGGCATTCTGCGTACTACGCTGTGGCATGTAATCACTCCAAATGCATCGTTGTTGGAGAGAAGCTGCTGTGAAACACTGAGTGTTAATAGCAGTTTGCATAACACTGATAATTGTCCAAGCCAGCGCACGACAGACACTGCCACAGATAAAAAGTGCCTTATCCTTCCAGTGTCCCAAAGAAAAACTTCAGACTTTTTTTGCTAGAAGAACTGCACAGTATGTGTTTCATTTAGTAGTTTGGCTATTACAAGCACTACATTAGCATGGAAACCTATGGGTTTCCATTCAAGCGTACATTGCTATGGATATTTCGTACATATTTTGAAATTCAAATGATTGGAAAATATGTTAGAATGTAATACATTAGAATTCAAAACTGTTAGATTTTTAAATTACTGGATGCCAGCTTACTTAATGCGAACACGAATTCAAGATGAAAAATGTTTCACCTATACACCACTTCCTAATTTCAATATACTAATTATATCTTCTTTGAAGATGACATTAAACAATTTTTCCCTCCTAGATGTTTATATCCAGCCAACTTTTACCACATCACAGACATATTAATGCACCCCTAACTCCTAAAAACACCAATGTAAGAAGAAATTAAAGAAAAATCCCTTCAGAAATGACAGCTCTACTGATCATTGTTAACGATGTACATTCACTCTTGCAGAACTGGGCAGGTAACTCCAGCAGGTATGTTGTAAACCTCATAACAAAAGCAAAGCATCAGCCACCTGACATGACGTGAGGAAACAGCTCCTCAAACAAGGAGTCTGGCTGTAAGGAGACACCCAAAATCAAATTGGATAAACCATAGAATCAGAATGGTTTGGGTTGGAAGGGACCTTAAAAGACCATCTAATTCCACCCCCCCCCCTGCCATGGGCAGGGACACCTTCCACTAGACCAGGTTGCTCCAAGCCCCGTCCGATCTGGCCTTACGTACTTCCAGGGATGGGGCATCCACAGCTTCTCTGGGTAACCTGTTGCAGTGCCTCACCACCCTCATAGTAAAGAATTCCTTCCTAATGTCTAACCTAAATCTA